CTACTCCTGCTGCTGCTGCTGCTACAACTGCTACGACTACTACTGCTACTGCTCCTCCTGCTACTACTGCGACGACGACGACTACTGATACTACTGCTACTCATGCTGTTGATGCTGCTACCACTGCCACGACACTTGCTGCTGCTTTGTCACTTTGTGTCACTGCCAGGAGCCTGGAAAGCTTGCGAAGACGACGGAAGGCAGACGAGGACTTGCACATCCGTCGTAGCAGCCCTGTTTGGAGTTGCGCGTCTTTGCAGACGTTCATGCAAAGCAGTGCAGGACAGGCGGCAGCGCGAGCAAGATTGCATGCTGAAATGGTGCCCCCCTCATCATTCTGCTGTACTGTGGACGTCGCAGTGTCTTCAGGCCGCCTCTTCGCAAGACACGTTGACATTTTCTGAGGCTGCACAACGAAAATGAGCGTCTTCGCCAGCAGCGCATCGCAGACGCGGAAGAGTATGTCGAGATCTTAGTGGCATTACTACTGCAGGGTGTCTTGTCAAGTCGACAGATACTGCAGTGTGTCAGTGTCAGGCTCGGAAGTGCAAGCAAGCACAGGACGAGCCGGGCACCCGTTTGCTGAAGCATAGCCGCGGCCGGTCAACAAGTGCATGTTTACAGGCCTTTGTCTCGTGCTGGTCAGAGCAAGTCTGCATAATGCACTGTAGCAACATCTGACATAATGTAGTATAGCATGACATAATACTTCTTACATAATGGAGTATAATATAACATAGCATAGCATGGTATAATGTACTACACTGAAAGCGAACTATACTTTAGTTTAACGTAAGAAACAAAGAAAATGTTGGGGCCAAATGTAATATCACACCCTGACATTATGTTGTAATGTGGTATAACAGAAGATGACAGCAAAGAATCTCATATAAACCAGTATAGCGGTATACAGTATACACTGTAATATTGCGTAATATGATACAGCATCATAGAATTCAGCATGACACACTAGAACATAAGAGATTTTATCACATAATGTAACAGTGTTTAGTATACTAATAACACAGCAGGTTCTAGTATAGTGCAGTAAAAGGAATCATATGATATAGTATGTTACAGTAGAAGCGGTTGCAATATAGTATGATGCGTTATGGCACAGCATCTTACACTTTAACAGGACGCAATATGGCATAGGATAATAGAACAAACTGTGCTACACTTTAACAGATAGCTTACTAACATGTAACTGACACAAGATGATGTAATTGAATACGGCACAGCGTGACAACTACACCAAACTATAGTACAATGTATAACATAGCCAAGAGAATATATTGCCTGATGCCACTTGCAAATCTTGGGAGCCAAGGATGCTAGAAGCCATGGAAGAAGCAGCTAGAAGAAAAAAGGCCAGGCCCTTGTTGCCGTGCGCGTTGTCTCATGTTGAGAGCCACTTCAGCCGTGAGGCACGACAGGATGAAGATAAGGCGCCTCCACTGGAGAATCTGTGGGGTCGCATCGGGGGTGGGAGTCGTTTCAGTCGCTACACCTGTCCGTACTAGAGATTCCCGCTAGTACTACTGCTACTGTTCCTTCCCACTCCCACTCCCACGATCACCACCACCAAAACCACCACCACCACCACCACCACCACCACCACCACCACCACCACCACCACCAATCCACAACCCTACTCCTAATTACTCCTACTCATTCTCACTGCTGCGGTCATGGATCAATGATTGAGCAGCAAGTTTAGGTCGTGCTCGCTCGGAATCCGTCACCAGGCTTTCGCGATGGCCGGGGAGCAGGCTGCAGACGATGCGGCCGGGGGCTGAACCGAAGTGTGGGCGGTTTAGGATTGAGTTGGGGTTCAGGGCCTGGGATCTGGGAGGGGGGGGGGGGTTCCGGTTTCAGTTTCGAGGACAATGTCGAGATCAGTGGATCGCTGGGTTGAGGAAAGTTGTGCAATGACACGGGGTCGCAGTGGGCCTCCTAAGCGGAAGCCTTCCCAAGCACGCCCCGGTAGCCAGTGTTTAGCCTGGTGCAGGAGGCAAGAAATCGAGCAGCCGTCCAAGCCAGAATGGATCAGATTGAGAGGACACGCCGGAGGGTTTTGCGGGTTTCGGGGCAGGGTTTTGTAGGTTTGGGGGTACCCTAAACCCGAATGTCTAAACCCCCAACCTCAATTCCTAAACCCTAAAGATACGGACTCTACCTTGCCTTTGAGACCCGGCGTCCAGGAACTGCCAGACGATCGGAGCCGACATCGCCGGGCGCGATGCGCGACTTGAAGCCGAGCTCCAGGCCGAATGCCTAGTATGGGTTGAGGGCTTAGGGTTTAGGGTTTAGGGTATACTTACCATCATTATCATTGCTCTCGTTTTTGAGAGGCAGAGTATTATTGCTGTCATCGTTGCTGGTATTCATGCTGTTGCTGTTCTTAGTCTGTTTGACATACTGTTCTCAATACTCATATTGTTTCTACCCGTTATGGTTGTTGCTATGATTGTCAGTTCAGTTGCTACTTTCCATTGTGTGGCGATTGGGTCTCAGTAATTCGTGGCTTAGGGTTCGGGGGGCTTGATAAGGCTTTAGGATGTGGGCTGTTCAACATGTCATCCCCTGCACCCACCTGAAGAAACACCACCCTGCAAGCGTCCTCAGCCCTGAACGGTTTTGCGCGCACACACACATACACATGCATGCACATGCACATGTACATGTACACATATACACGTACATACACATGCACGCACACATACAAGCACACACGCATGCAGATAAACATGCATATGTATATTGGTATATATATATATATAGATAGTGTATATACGTACTCATGCATGCATGCTTGCATGGGTGGATATGCGTATGTGTGTATGCATACATGCATGCATGGATGGCTGGCTGGATGGCTGGATGTCTGGACGGATGCATGTATATATATATACATGTTGTACACACACTTAGCATACTCGCCGTCTAAGATCCCTTCGAGATCGTGCGCGGCCTGAAGCCCAACCGGATCCCCCCGAAAGGGTGTATTGTCAGTTGTCTTGATCGCTTGTTGAGGGATATTCTCGCAGGCGAAAATCCAGAAGATCCAGGATGATGCCGACCAGGCGGCGAAAGAGGCGCGGGAGCCTGGCCTTCTAGGAGGTCCAGATGCAGTACTTCGATGCGCGAGAGGTCCGGTCAGGTCGGAGGTCGTGCAACATCTTCCGTCAACCCATGAAAGGGCTTAAAGAGGCCCCCACACTACCTCCGAAGTCTCTGGGCCCAAAGGGAAGAGTGTGTCCAAGCCCGGAGCCGAAGACACTTCGGCCCTTGCTCTCAACTCTTCCGAAACTCTGAAAGCCGGCATAGGACGCGGCCCGGCGCAAGGCAGACCGCGATGCCAAGGCCGAAGTTGCCTCGCTTTCCTTGCTCGGTTCCCGCGGGAGGGGGGGGGGGGCGGGGTACTTTGCTAGCGGCCTCCTTGTTGGACATGTGCTCTGTGTGTGTGCAGAGACACACACACACATGTATGCATGCATGTATGTATGCATGTATGTATGTTACGGCCTCCTGAAGGCTTAAAAGGCAAGGTGCAACAATACTGCCACAAGGAGATGTTGGAGCTCTGCCCTGCGCTGCTCCGTGAAGACCTTGGCCTTCCACCTTAAATTCTAAGACCCTGACAGGTCAAAGACATGCTCGACACCCTGAACCTGCAGATGATGCAGCGAGACGACGAAGCGCAGAGGGAGAAGGAGGACGGAATCAAGCAGGCCCGGCCAATCGCAGGGTTCCCTTGCGACTTCAAGCAGTTTGCTAGTTTTCCTGTCACGCGGCGTGCCTAGGTCTGAGTCTAGCCCACACCCCCCAACCCGAAACTCTTATAAACCCTAAACCTTAAGCTAAACCATGCTAAACCCTGAATCCTGAACCATGAACCCTAAACTCTGATAAACCCTAAACCTTAAGCGAAACCATGCCCAACCCTAAACCCTAAACCCTAAACCCTGAATCCTGAACCATGAACCCTGAAACCCCGACAGAGGCTCGGCTCTTCCAGGAGCAGTACGAGCAGGGCCCGACGCCTAATTGGCCTTGGGGCTTATTATATTATATATTATATATTTTATATTGTATATTATATATTATATATTATATACAATATATATTATATATTATATATTATATATTATATATTATATATTATATATTATATATTATATATTATATATTATATATTATATGTTATATATACTTATTATATATTATTTTTCAATATATATATATATAGTATTATATATATATATATATATATATTAATACTGTTTTGCAAATGAAGTTTGGAGGGCTTCTTCAGGGTGTGAAAGGCGTTTCTAGGCCTTTGGGGGTTTTGAGGGCGTTACGGTTGTAATGCGAAAAGACTGTGATTGCGGCTCTTTCTTTGCGCTCTTTCATCTTTACTGAACTGCTGTTGCTGAAATTGCTGCTGCTGCTGCTGCTGCTGCTGCTGCTGCTGCTGCTGCTGCTTTTGCCCCGACGGTTGTGGTGGTTGTACATGTTGGCGGTTGTGGCGGTTTTGGTTCTTGTTGTCGTTGTTGCTAATATTTGTTATTGCTGTGGCGCGGGCGGTGGTCGTTCTCTTGGGATCTCCAGCAGCTTCTGCCCTTCGGCTTCTTCTGTGCTCTTCTTAGGTCACATGGTGCCAGTTTCTGCCCACAAAGTCTTCGCCACACCGCTCTTGCAGCATTCTCTCTCTCTCTCATGGAGTCTGGCGCCTTCCAGGACTTGCAGCAGACAGGGCCAAGGAAGAGAAGGCCCGACAAGTCCCGGGCTTAGAGTCTCTGACTCTGCAGTGACCAGCTCCCTTAGAGACCCCGTGGAATTCGATACCCCAGGCCCGATTAGCCATGGATGCCAAGCTGGTGGAGAAGATGAGGACGTCAATCTGGCGCTTCGAGGGCATCTTGTGCTATCTAGCTTGCAGAGAGGGTCCACTTTGGGATTCTCTGGCTTCTCCGAGAGATCAGCCCCATCTGAAGAGATGGAAGGTCCGCGTGGCGTCTGAAACTTGACCACTCGTATTGCTGAAGAGACTCCTAGACACAGCGAGTCATAGGATTGCTGCCAGCTTAGTAGCAAGGCTGCATATGGCAGATCCAGCTGTGACACCTGTCAGGAGCAATGCAGGTAGCTGCCCCAGCGTTAGCGTTCGCACGTGTTGTGTACCTGAACCTTCGCTAGCCGCTAGCCAGTAGGGGCCAGCTTCTGGCAAGGGTGTTTTACACACAAGCAGGGCTCTACAGATCGAATTCGGGCCCCGTATGTCTAAAATGCGTCCCGAAACCAACGTACGATTTGCCTCTAGACATCTGGAGTGTTCGACCCTTTCGACTTTGGTAGTTTGCTACCAAAACTGCCTACTCTTTCTCTCTCTCACACCCTCTCCCGCCCTGAATGCGTGGAAACAGACCCATGCAGGAACATATGCGTATATCAGTGTAGAACATGTGAACTGCATGGATGGCTGGCTGGTTGGATGGATGGATGGATGGATGGATGTGTATGGAGTGGATGTGTGTATGTATGTATATACAGGCAGACACACACACACACACACTTGCTCGCGTACGCAGTCGCTCTCGCCCTTTCTTCTTGGCACACAGTACCCGATAAAAGCATTACTAGTGGCAAACACAGTAGTAGAAACGATATGTCCGCGTCTATGCCATCTCTCTTTGTTCCATACTGTCTGTCTCCATTTCTACGTTTGCTTCTGCGTCTGCGTCCATATCCATGTCTATGCCTTCGTAGATGTTCATATATCTATCTGTATATATGTATGTATACGTATGTAGCGTATATGTAGAAATGAATGAATGTATGTATACGTATGTGTATATGACCGTATTTCAGATTACATATACCTGCATACATATATGTACATACAAGTGTACATGCATATGTGCACTTATATGTATCGTTCATACATCTATCTATCTGTCTGTCTAGCTATCTACCTACCGATCTAACTATCTATTTGTCTATCCGTCCATCCATCCATCTATTATCTGTCTGTCTATCTATCTACCTATCTGTCTCTCTATCTATCTATCTATCTATCTATCTATCTATCTATCTATCTATCTATCTATCTACCCATCTGTCTATCTACCTATCTATCTGTCTACTTGTATCTCTGCATCTACATCTACATATACTGTATATGTATATGTATATGTATGTATGTGTGCATGCATGCAATGTAGTGAAATGTAATGTTATGTAATTATGTATGTATTGTAACTATGTATGTCTGTCTGTCTGTCTGTCTGTCTGTCTGTCTGTCTGTCTGTCTGTCTGTCTGTCTGTCTGTCTGTCTGTCTGTCTGTCTGTCTGTCTGTCTGTCTGTCTTTCTGTCCGTCCGTCCGTCCGTCCGTCCGTGCGTCCGTCCGTCCGTCCGTCCGTCCGTCCGTCCGTCCGTCTGTCTGTCTGTCTGTCTGTCACACTGTCTGTCTGTCTGTTTGTATGCATGTATGTGTGTATGGCCGTATGTATGAATGTATACGCTGGTCAGACACTCACCGCAAGCTCGAGCTTTCCCGAGTCGTCCATCCACGGGACTTCGGCGCTCACCTCACTCAGCAGCAGGAGATGGAAATTTGGTCTTTGGGTTTCTGTTGCTCCAGGGCTCTAGTGTGCAGGGTTTCGAAATCTTGACATTGAGAAGGAGTTCCGAGGTTTGCTTCTTCTTCTTCTATTGCTGTGACTCTACTACAGCGACAGCGCCGGTTAGGACGGTTAAGAAACAGTTATTTTTCGTGAGGGGGGCTCGACTTATTATTTTTGAAGCGCACCTGTTTTAGTAAAACGTACATTTCGGGATCTGAGCATGCCCTGGATTTCTTAACTGAAATTTCTTAATTTGAAAAGGCTCCAAAATTAACTGCACGGAAAATCAGAAGACTGAGAGGCTCGAGCCCGCAGCAGTTTCACTTCAACCGCATGCGCTTATACACTCGGGCATGGCAGCATCGACTGGTTTGTTTTGAAGCCATATCGATATGTATACAGCTTGTATTCAGCCCTTAGACCCCCAAAAATAAGAAATTGCGATTTCTTAAATTTAAGAAATTGAGGGGCTAAATTTCTTATTTGGGGTTCTGGGCTTGCCTAATAAGGGCTTAATAGGTTAAGGGCTGTATTAGGCCCTAATAACAGCTTTGGAGGGCTCCAGAGGCTCCAAAGGGGCTTAATAAAGGCTTTTTAAGGCTTTGTCCCTTGGGAAAACAAACCATCGAAATAAAAAATGAGGGGCTCGATTTCTTAAACTTAGGAAATTGAGGGGCTCAATTTCTTATTTTGGGATTTCTTTTCTTGCCCATTAAGGGCTTAAGAAGGGCTCTGCTAAGCCCCAATAACACATTTGGAGGGCTCCAGAGGCTCCATAAGGGCTTAATAAAGGCTTTTTCAAGGCAAAAAACCACCGAAATAAGAAATTGAGGGGCTCGATTTCTTAAATTGGAGAAATTCAGGGGCTCAATTTCTTATTTTGGGGTGTTCTGGCCGGCGCAAGAAACTGTCCAGCTTTTGGAATACGAAATCGAGTCCCTTAGTTTCTTGATTCTCCTTTTTGCGCGTACAAAACCGGCGAAGACAAAATGAGAAGAGCAAAATAAGAAATTGGCTCGCCGAGTACAGGGCACCCTGGATTTATTATTTTCAATTTGCGCATTTTTTCCAAAAACAATTTTGTCGCACGGCTGTCTGGGGGGCTCAATTTCCTAAACCAGTGATTTCTGAAGCAGTGCTGTTGCTGTGCTACGACTACGACCACACCCCATTTCTACAACGATGGCAAGCTTAACCCTGCAACTGCGGCGATTGCCCTTGCAAAGCGCGCCAGGAGTTGGCCTACAACCGTGGCCTCTACGAGCAGATGGTCGGGGGACTGGATTAGCCTTGCAGTTTGGGTTTAGGGAGTTAGTCTGTAGGGTTGAGGACTTTGGGTTTAGGGACATGTGCATTTAGTACACATGATCGGTGTGTATGCATGCATTCGTTCGTACATGTGTACGCGGAAACAAGTACATATAGACAAGAGACACACAAATACACGCGTGCATGCACACATATGTATATGTTTATACAGTGTCCCATATGACAAGGAACGAGGGGTTTCTCAGGGAAGTTTTCGAAGAGCAGCCGGGCCATACCACGCAGGGCATGCTGTGCAAGAGATTGGAGGGTCCGTTCCAGTGATTTCCAATCGCCCTGCAGGCTGTGGAGGGCTTCATGATGCCCCTGACATCGAAGTTCCTGCCCCAGGCAGGTCGGTACAACAGGTCCAAAAACAGAAGGGTTCCATCTGAAAGCGGGACACTGTGGCGACAAAGTCTGGGTGAGCACTGCTTGTGAGATGTGGGAGGCCACCCATACCGGGAAGCTGGATCCACATCCCTCCTGCGGCCGCTACACAGGTGAGATTGATGCGCCACTTTGCAGCACGCTTTTGGCATGTGTGCAAGCGTGTTCTTCGAAGATCGGCAGTGGACTGACTTTGCGTACCCGAGGTTGGAGGTGCGTCAAGTCGACTGACGGCCACTCTGCTCGAGGGTCTTGGTCAGCTCTCGGGCAAAAGTTCCAGTTCCAGCAGCGCCAACATACGAACAACTCAAGACTCTCGACGAAGGGCTGCGCTGAAACAGCGCCTGAAGCAGTTTCACCCGTCCGACTGTGAGCACCGAAGTTGTGCCGGCATAAGCATCAGATCTGCTAGCTGTTCAGTCTGCAGGGTCTGGTTCCTGATCTTGGCAATGCTGCGATTGATGGCGATTGATCCTGGTGTTGTTGAAGATGGTGGGGATGAGAGGAACGATTATGATGCGGGCGATGCGGGAGAAGAAGCAGATGTTCATACGCACCACACGTTGTTGATTCGGGTGGTGACGATGAAGTGGACTTAAGGCTCAGCGCGAGAGCCGTGACAACATGACAAACACTGTGCCAAGGTGGCATGTACTTCGAGGTGACCCTCTAGCTTGTCGATGCTGATGGAGGGGAGGTGTTCATCACTCGAACCTTAAACCCTAAACCCTAAACCCTCAAGTATCGCACCTCAAAGCCCTCCGACTTGACGCGAACCTCAATCGTGCCAGGGGTGTTCCCAAGGTCATTGCACCAGATGCATTTTACGACCCTTAAACGAAGCTTCAGTCTTTTCCCTCTGGTTCGAAGAGCTCATGGCTTTATCCTTCTAGTCCCCAGTAGAAAAGGGGGGGACATGAGATAAATTGACGGAGGCAAGCCCTAAGCGGCCTTGTTTCAATTCCCTAAACCCTTAACTTCATCACAGTGCAGGAGGAAAAGAGGTGTCAAAACTTAAACCCTAAGAGGCCTTGTTTCAAATGCAGGCAAAGGTCTGGGGGGGAATTTTTAAACGCAAAACCTGCAAATCCTCAACCGTGAGGCCCCAGACCCCCAACCCAAAACCCCACACCCTAACCCTAAACCCTAAACCCTAAACCGTTCAAGTTTTAGCCTATGGTTTTGGGTTTCAAAAACCTATAACCCCCACAAGGCAACCCCGATGACACCTCATAGGTAGAAGGCAGGAAACACCACCTTCAAGGGGACCGCAGTTGAGAGCAAGGGCGATTTCATGAGTTCAACATTGTAGGATTTGGTGATTTGGGGTTTAGGGTTTTGAGTTTAAGGCAAAGCTTAGCAGCTTGGCCGATGCTGAGGACTTGTGCTTAGCATGGAGGGTGCATGGAGGTCCGAGGAACACAATCCGCCGTCCCTTCGTGGGCTGCCAGCTTGCGGGAGTCAGCAGAACGCTCCTCTGCTTCAGTTATCATCTAGTCAGCGCCATGGACTCCTTCGTTTTCTTCGCTCAGGCTGCTGGAGTGGGGTTGTGAAAGGACTTGCGGGTTCTCAAGGGTGCTATGAAGCTTCTATAAAGGGTTCTACTGGCGTCCTGAGGAAGCAAAAAGGATTCTATACAGGATTCTGCTGGATCCGTGCAGGTGGTAGTTAGTCGAGATGGGCATGCGTATGCAGGACGGCTTCAGACAGTGTCTTCTGGCGGTGCCGATGTGTTCGCATTTGCGTATGTAAGTTATCTTGCATGTGCACTTCACATGCATACCATACACGACTTTCGAATTCTGTGCCCTTTATTTGCATCGGCATAGATGTGCATCAATGTCCATCTCCTTCTGCGTGAAGTTTCGTAACATCACTGCAACGCGCTATATTTGGCATCATATCACTGTAAATGACAATACAATATTGCATCGTCCCACAGTGTGACAGCGTGGGTAAGATACATAAGTGCATCCTTACACATATATATATATATATACACAACTACCTACCTACCTTCCTTCCTCCCTTCCTTCCTTCAGTCAGTCAGTCATTCATTAATTTCTTCGTTGGTTCATTCATTCAGTCAGTCAGTGAGTGAGTCAGTCAGTGCGTGAGTGAGTCAGTCAATCAGTGATTCATTCATTCATTCCTTCATTCCTTCCTTCATTCCTTCATTTTCTCATTCATTCATTCCTTCCTTCCTTCATTCGTTCATTCCTTCCTTCCTTCGTTCGTTCATTCATTCACTCGTCCGTCATAGGGGCTTGAATCTTAGGCTTTGAGGGGTATTCGTCGCTGTCTGTCAGATGCTGTGCTGTGCACGCGATTTGACCTGCGTCGGGGGGCGGGCCGAAGCCTCAGTTAGGGCTTCCAGGGCCTTTTTTGGGTTTTTATGGCTTCGGGTTTAGGGTTTCTGGTTTAGGGTTTAAGATTCGGGTCATTGGTTGTGCGAAGTGTGGAACGCAAAGTGCAAGACTGATTCAGGGTGTTTGGTGCCTGGTTTTTGATGAGTGCGGTGCGTTAGGTGTATTTTCAGCGGTTCTGCGATGTAGCTCTCGGGAGATGGAAATGGACATGGGGTTGCTTTTTGGGTTTTTGGTGTTAATCCCTTGGAGTGACTTGGTGCCAAAGATGCACGTTGAGGGCCTGTCTCCTTAGATCCCTGGTGCACGATGAGCCGGAGAATCCTGCTGGGACGTGAGTCCTGGAGTTATCTTGTAGGGTTTTGCAAAAGCACCCAGCATAGAGTCACGCTTAACTACAGCGGCCTGCGGTGGCGGCTCGGGGATTCGAACCATTGATCCTTATCCGGCTTCCTTGCCTGATTCTCGCCGCAGACATGACGCAGGAGACCTTGCATTCCGAGCTCCACGCGCCCTAAACCCTGAATCCGCAGAACGCAAACCCTTGCAGAACCCTGTCATACATAATCCTTATAGAACCCTTCCTTCCAGAACCCAAACCCTTCCGGTAGAACCTGCATAGCGCCGTATGAGTTTGTAGGGTTTATGGTTTCGGGATTTCTGTAGGGTTCTAGGGCTTTGCAGGGCTTCAGGCTCCAGGGTTCAGGCCTTTTTATACGGTTTAAGGTTTAGAGAGGCCTTTCTATAGGGTCTAGGGTTTAGAGTTTAGAGAGGCCTTTTTATAGGGTTTAGGGTTTAGTGAGGCCTCTTCATGGGGTTTTAGGCGTCAAGCTTGAGGTTTTTTGGGTTAGGCTCTCCCGTTCTGGAAGTCAGTGGTGCCAAAAAGTTGAATCATTGAATCCCTGAGCCCTAAACCCGAAAAGCCCTAAACCCCATACCCTAAACTCTAAAATAAACACCCGCAACCGCTAAAAACCCTAATGCCCAGGCAAAGCCCCAAACCTCGACGCGCTCCACTGGGCTCTCGCCGTTTACGGAGCCGAATCCTCGGGGCACTTCCTTTAGGGTTTAGAGTCTGGGGTTTAGGATTCAGGGTTTAGGGTTTAGGGTTAGCAACAGCAACAGCAGCAACACGAAGCACTGCATATCACCACCAGCGCCACCGCTCCTCGGCTGCCACCTGCACCATTCCCACTGTCGCTGCGGTCGTTGCCACCGGCTTTGTCGCAGTACTGGCAGCGCTAGTTAGTAGTACTAGCCCTGACCATCACAGTCTCAAACCTCATCGTCGTAGTCATAGTCATCGTCATCATAGTCATCGTCATCCTTATCGTCATGCTTATCGTCATTTTCATCGTGTCCCCCATCATCAGCATCACCGCAATCTTCACCAACATAATCATCACCATCTTCTTCTATCGTTAGTGCCATCAGCATCATCACCAGCGTCAGCATCGTTTCAGCATCGGCATCGGCATCAGCATCAGCATCTGCATCAGCATCAACATCATCGTCATCAACATCATCGCCATCGCCATCATCATCATCATCATCATCATCATCGTCATCGTCATCGCATCATCACCATCATCAGCAGCAGCATCAGCATCAGCATCAGCATCAGCATCAGCATCAGCATCAGCATCAGCATCAGCATCAGCATCAGCATCATCATCATCAACATCATCCTCATCCTCATCCTCATCCTCATCCTCATCCTCATCCTCATCCTCATGCTCATGCTCATCCTCATGCTCATGCTCATGCTCATGCTCATCCTCATCCTCATCCTCATCCTCATCCTCATCCTCATCCTCATCCTCATCCTCATCCTCATCCTCATCCTCCTCATCGTCATCCTCGCAATGATGACTGTCATCACATGTCACGTTGTGGCTGGGTTTGCCTTGCAGGCCGCAACGGCGCTGCCAGCAATGTTTGTCGGACTAAAACCCGTCAGTGTTCGTGGTTTAGCTTATGCGGGCTCCCCTAAATTAGGGTTTAGGGTTGAGGGTTCGCTCATCGCCCAAGGCCACGAACCCCGCCCCTTGCCGCAAGAATGGAAGTTGTACACAGAATCCAGCGGACTGTTTCCGCAATCCAAGCCCTGATGCAGAGTGCCTAGGACCTGAAAGGGCTCGGGTTTCCTCAATCAGGGTCCCTTTTAGGGTCCTTATGAGGGTGCCGTCCTAGTTGGTTTTGGGATAGGCTGTGTGAACCGCTCTTGTGAGGCCCGGTGTCGGAGTGGAGTGGGGGCCCAAGCATGCAGATTGTGACTAGCCCATCCTCAAAGTCTGAGTATGAAGTCTATGTGCCTTCTAGGCTTCGAGAACAAATCGGACCATTCAAATGCTAGGGGGGGCCTGAAAAGAACGCTCTAATGGGTTTTGCGACATTGGTCTACGGTTAGAGAAATTCCCTTTTTCGGCCCAGAAACCTTGCTTCCAGGGTTCGCAGCGGCTCGTGCAGATCTGCATGCAGTCTTTGTGGTGTACAGCTGTTCAGGATAATCACTGTTGTCCATGCATCTTGAACTGTATGTAGTTACTGTAGTTCTTGTTGCAGCGTTGTCTCAATCCCGTCTTGTGATAACCGGCGCCACATGCCTGCGAAGCTTCCATCCCACCATTCTCTCGCCCTCGGGACGGCAGCATGACAGTGCAGGTCATTGCTTTTCAGCTTCCCTGACGTCATCTCGCCGAACTGGTGGACAGCCTTATATTACACCATGAGACAGTTCCATACGGTGATATACTCTATGAAACATTTGTATTAATATTTGTTATAGTATAACTGTATGACATACTGTATGATACTCTAATACTATATTAATTATGCTATACTCCCCAAGCCAGAGGCTTCACAGACACGACTCCTCGCGCCCTGCAGCACTGCAAGTCCTACAACTCCTGAGCCCCCAACCCCTAAACCCTGAACGGAAGCCCAACACCCCTAGGCCCTGAACCCTAAGCCCCAAGCCCACTACCCCAAAGCCCTAACTGCCCCACGAAACACAGGACCAACTCTCTCTCTCTCGGTGCTTCTGAGGTCTGGTACAGGAGAGGGCGCGCGGCCAGAGACCCTGCCGAAGCCAATAGAGAAGGGTAGCCAGGAGTAGTGATGCTTGTGGTGTAAAGCTCAACGTTTAGGGATCTAGGTCTATAGGGCTTTGGGATACAGGCTGCCCTTTGGAGTTCGAGGTTCATGAAGTCTTGAAGCTGTCAGTTTCCGTCTCCCGGCCCGCAGATATGTATTGCAGAGGTGTTTGCGCGCTTGGGGGAGGCTTGTTCTGCGTTTCAGTGTGTTTAAAGTTTAGAGGGTTCTTTGTACTTAGGGGTGCAGGGTCCTTCCAGGAGGTTCATCCTGGCTTAGTTTCGGGCTCAATCCGTTCCGCTTCGGTAGATTGTCGGTTCGGAGCGCTTCAAGCTTTAGGGCTCCAGCAAAGCTGTGTGCTTTACAGGAGCGACGGATGGATCGCAAGAAATACAGAGCGCAAGGAGAGCCACACGACACATAAGCAAACCAACGAAATGAAGGCATGCCGGTTCACGCCCACTCCAGGGACCCCATTGGTGCAGATCCCTGAGGAACAAGCCTGATGAACAAGCCCCTTCGGCCCTGAACCCCAAACCCTAAACTCCTAAACCTCACGCCCTAAAGCCTAAACCCTAAACCCTGCCCCCTTTCAAAAAAAACACAAACTCAATGGTCCGGAAGGCCCGATCCTGCGCCGGCTGTGGCACACACGACGTCGAATCAGCTGGGGCCCTTTGAGCGCAGCAGGGTTTGAGGGCCTAGGGTTTAGGGTTTTGGGGTTCAGGGTTTAGGGTTTAAGGTTTCGGGTTTTGGGGTTTAGGGTTTAGGGTTTAAGGTGTCGGGTTTTGGGGGTTTGAGGTTTCAGTAGTCAGAGTTTTCGGGGTCCTTAAAAGGTTTCCGCAAGGGTCCGTTTAAGGGAGTTACTTTAAGGGTTCCTTCAAGGATCCCTATAGGGGTTTCTTTAAGGGTTCCTTGAAGGGGCTCGTTTCAAGGTTTCGTTTATGAGCTTCATAGAATGTTCATAGGGATTGATAGGGTTTCATATAGCTGAACTTAATGGTTTCAGTAGTGGTTAGGGGTTTCCTCTCTAAAAGTTATATAGACACTGCAAAGAAAGGAATACCATTTATTTGCTATTCAGACCTCTGTATTATAAAGTTTGGGATTTAGAGCTTGCGGGGTGAATATTTGACGACCTTGTGCAAACGGGAGCTTTGCGAATTAAGGTCCTGGATTGAGAAAGTAACAGAAGCAGAATAGCGAACACAAAGGACCACTAGGAAGAAGTCTTTTCTTGCATCGTTGTGGACAAGGTCTGCGATGGCTCTAGGCAGGAAGAGTCTGGCAATGATGTGCGCGCACACGCATTTTTTAGCGGAAATCTGCAAAAGTGTACGTGTGTATGATGTATTATGTATACATATATATATATACATATATACATACACATTTCTACTTACATATACTCATGCGCAGACATATTGTACACGTGTATGCCAACATACACAAAATTGACCCTCTGGAGAAACACAGCTGGTCGCTGTTTCTTCGGGGTGGTGTCTTTGGAGGACTTCGATGGTTCACGTAGCCTCGGTCCACCCGAATGTGTTTGTAGTCGGCAGCACCCCACAGTCCAAAAGCATTTTCTGAGCCTGACAGTCCCAAATCCGACAGAAACTCTAAGTCCCGCAAACCTAAATGCTGCAAGTCTGCACACCAGTCTAAAGAAAAAAGGAACTCTATGAGAGCTCGAAGCCAGACAAGACAAGAGCAAAACTCAAGAGCCCCCCAGCCCTAAACCCAAACCAACCCAAAACCTGAAGCACGACGATCCCCCGAATCGATAGTCCCTAGGCACGAGCCTGGGACGGCGGTGGTTTACACGCCGGCAAATCAGCAGTGGCCTCAGAATTGGGCAAGGTTTGAGGGCTTCGTATACGGCCCTCAATAGTTAGAATAGGGCTCCTTGAAAGGGGGTCCGGTAAGAGATCCGTAAGGGATCTATGGGCAGATATACTGTATGCAGCTTTCATAGTTAGAGCAGGGTTTTGGGGTTTACTAAACGTTAATTATATCGGTGTTTTACGGCAGCTTAACGGGTCAAGAGTTGACGGCCGGCTGCCGATAGGAGCTTGCTGTGAAGGATGTGACAGAACTGCATAGCGAAAACGAAAGATCATTAGGAGGAAGTAGTTTCCTAGCAACTGGAAAACACTGTGTGGGCACGCAGCTTTAAGCATACATCTGCGGTAGTATAGATATCGGTACACACTTACGTATACCGAGCATGTATACAGGGCCCTCTGGAGAATCATAGCTGGTCACCGTTTCTTCGGTTGATGTCCTTGGGCATATGTCCTTGACATAAGCCCTAAGCCCCAAACCCTAAACCGTCATTCCGGGGGTTGCCTGCATCCACCCTGGTCTAGCACCACACCGTCCGAAGCTCGGCAGCCGAAAGAAACCCGAAGCAACAGCTACTTAAACTGCAAAATAGAACCTTCGGAGCCCCCAGGCCACAGCAAACCTCTCCAGCCCGGTCAACCCTGGACCCTCAAGAAGCCCTGAGCCTTGCGCCATGTAGCATCCTACAGTTAGGCCTTAGGCGCGCGGATTGTGTGTTTAGAGCCCGTGCACCAAAGCTGAACGATATCCTGCAACAGGGCGAGATTACTTATCGACAGGCAAGTGTCTACCCACACCCAAACTCTTAACCGCCAGCTAAGCCTTGGACCCAAACAGCCTAAATTCCAACGAACCAAACCCTACCCTCCCAAACCACCCAAGGCCCTACAAGGCTCCTAAACCCAATCCCTAATTCTAAACACTACGAACACCCTAAACCCTAACACCCTAAACCCTAGACCCTAACCCCCAAAGTCTAATACCAAACCCCAAACCCCGCTCAAATCCAAAGCTTTTGCCGACCTCCTTCCAGGCCTGAACCATGGACGCCAAGGGCTCAGCTCGAAGTAGCGATTGAAGTTTCGGAACGGGATCGTCGTAATTTTCCGCATATAATGTAGGCCATAGGTATGATACACTTTGGGGGCTGCGGAATAGTTTGCCCTGTATAGTACAAGTAATTCGGCCCCCAAACTTTGTTCTATTTTTCAGGGCCCCTATATTTGGCTGTAGGGTTTAGGGTGTGGGGCCCGATAAGAGGGCGTCGAGGCGATGTTGATTGGCCTCAATAGGTGTTTAACTCTTTAACGGTTTTAGAGGTAGTTTTGTAGGACTTAGGTTGTGATAATGGTTCACTGAAGAATCAGCTGGGTTCATGTATGCAGGTTTTCATCTTCTCTGGCAAGCACGAAGCACGAAGAAAGGCAGCCAAGCGACAGGTTCTTGCCGGGGTATCTTGCTTTGGCCTTTGATGTGGGTGCGGGATGTATCATCGCTTACAGGATTTTACATGCAGGGCTGGCTGTGGAGCGGCTTGAACATCCGTGAAACTCAAGCTGAAACCCTGCATCCGGTTTTATTCAGGCCCTCCTACGTGGAGTTCCTTGTGGACCCTGAACCGTACAAAGGGCATGCCAAACTTTGTAGAAGTCATGGCATAAGGTATACGCACAGTCTTTATAGCCCGCTATGTCAAGCCCGTGTGTTGTAGAGAAGCCATGTCAGATGCTGCACAGATCGTGATCCCAAGGCGGGCAATCCCAAAGCGAAGGGCCAAACGAATCGACCCGCGCTGCGATGGGCGGGGCGCTCGGCGTCCATGGTGTTGCTGAGGTAGCTTTTGTTATTTTCAGTGTTGGAAGCATTCTGTTACAGTCTTTTTACATGCGACAAAATAGACCCAGCCCGGTTTTCCAAGCTGGATGCCCGATTCCGCATGCGCCTCATATGGTCCACACCCTAGCCCCCAAACCCGGATGCCCTGATGTGGTCCAAACCTCCCAGACCATGAACTCTACCTCGGTCAAACTCCTTTGTTCGCTTCGTTGCACACGGCCAGGCAACGAATTTAACTCGGCCTCTTTCCTATCCAAAGGCAAAAAGCTCTTATAGAACCCGTAGCAGTTGAAGCTTAAACCCAAGACGGTACACGCTTCGGATCATGGGACGGCTCAGGATTTTTGAGTCAAGGCCTACGCCCGGCGACCCGGAATCCGATGTGTGTTTGAAGGGTTGGTGAAGGGTTTAAGGTTTAGGGTTTAGTGTGTAGGGTTTAGACTTTAGAGATTAGGGTGTGGAGTATCTCCGTCACAGCGATTGTTGCAATGCCTTGATTACAAGTTCAGGGATGGACGCCGATTTTCGGGTGCCGGCCCTTCGAAATTTCGCATGCTGGGGTGGACGGCACAGCATTCGCCGCAAACTCGAAGCCGAAGTTGTAACATCCTTAACCGAAGCCGTACTGGGTTTAGTCCGGGGTTTAGGGTTTAGCTACGCAGGCACTGGCTCTCTTACCAGCATGGTGTCCCCAAGACGTGCTCTGCAAGATGTGGGAAGCTCTCAGAACAAACGACTCCACATGTGGATGCCCGAAAACAGGATTTAATATAGGGGTCGGACAAACCACCAATAGTATTGCGTCATGGTCCCACAAATACTTATACTCGAATATACCCAAACCTTACTTCGGTTATTATGCCTTAGAGTCCCCGAAAATATTTGGTTTAGGGTTTCCGATTCAGGCTCCCCTCAACCCTAAACCCTACAAGCCCTAAACCCGAAACCCTAAACCCTAAACCCTAAACTCCAAAAAAAAACCCTACAAACTCTAAACCGAAAGATGCTCCAATTGCTTAGGACCCGGCCTGCCGCGCCAGCTCCAGAAGCCACGGATGAGTTCGTGCCCCAGACGGTTTTCTATTGAGGGTCTATATTCAGGGTTTAGGGTTCAGGGACGGTTTTCCATTTGGGTGGTTGTCAAAATGATGGTCCCTTTTTTGGTCCCTATTATAATACGGCACCTATCATTTAGGGTACCCCAAAAGGACCCTAATTTAGAAAACTACCCATTTGGGGTCTATATTGGGGGGCTTACTATCTTGGGTCGACATTCGTGGGTCGGTTCCTCTTGGTGTGACTCGCACCAAGATCCTGCTTTCTTTCCGGATTGTTGGTGGCTAGCTTGCTTTGTAGGTCATGGTGCCTAACCGCCCTTGTTGGCGTAAAACCCTGCAGCCCTAAACCCCAATGCCCAAAAGCCAAACCCATAGCTTTTGAGCTTACTTGGTTTAAGGAGTGCTGACTGTTGAGGAAGCAATATCGAATCCTGGATAACTACCAACAGTTTTGTTTGGGGGCTATTTCTCATCATTATCATTTTTTTTCGCCCCCCAAGCCCTATTTTAATTATTAAGGCCCGTATATTCAACCCTGATAGTATCACTTATAGACTTATAGACCCGTTTAACCTGAATCCTTCAGAGGAGCCCTATTCCATTCATGACGGCCCCGTATGTTAGGCTCGGCAGACACCCCTTGGGAGCAAGGAGGGGTCGTGGTTTAAGTTTTGGTGTAGTCTCTAGGGTTGAATCCGTGAGGTGTAAGGGTGACCTCAAGTGTTCTCTAGTTCTTTCAAAGGTTCTATTCAGGCTCTAGTCTCTAGACCCTAAACCCTAAACCCTAGGGTTGCGGGCCTGGGTTTATAGGGCTTGGTGTTTGGGGCCTCGGGGTGAAGGATGCGAGACACTTCCCAATGTCGTCTCTTCTTGATTGCGTTCTTTCCAGCCGTCTTGTTTCACCAATCCTGTCCGCCGGTTTCGCTTTGGGTTTCAATTTCTTCAAGCTGTGAAGCTCCTCCAACTTGCATACGTACTTTTCGTTCGGCTGTACCACGACTCCTTCTGGGGTGAATACGGACTTTTTCTTGACTTGCTTTAAGGGTTTTGGACGGAGCGTGTTGGGGTTTCGGGGCACCTGTTGTAAACCCTGAACCCTTAACCCTAAACCCCCAAACCCTAAACCCTCAACCGTAGGTACCGCTAGGCATCTTAGTAATTGCACGACACCGACAACGCGGCCACCGAACCCCCGTGCCGGACAGGCCTTGAAGACATATCCTGCAACCAGAGCCTAGGTCGCCCTGAAAGGAGCTCTTGATAACTATGCTTGACGCTAGACCAAAAGTCATCAACTCTCCACGAACGAGTAGGTAGGTAAAATCTCAACAGTAAGCCCTAAAGCCCCTAAGCCCTAAACCCTAAGCCCTAAACCCTAAGCCTGCAACTGTGCACCCGTCAAAGGTCCTGCACGAAGGAGGCCCAGACTTCGGGGGCAGACGCCCGCGCAGAGCCTCACGTGCGCTGGGCAGCGCGGCCCCTGCTGGCACGCTCCGAGTGAGCTTCGTATATCAAAGCCCGAGTAGTTCACAATACTGCGCCTGATGGCCTCTTATTGTGGTCAGGGTGTAGCATTCCTCGAAATTCTTTTCGTTATCAAGGCCCGAAGAGCAGAGGAGGGAGCAATAAGGGTATTGGTAGTCCTCTCATGGTGTAGCTAACTGTTCTTGGTGTTCAGTTTCTTGCTATGTTTTGGGAATATCCAAAACTTGCCCGGATCTGACAACTTCCCATGTGCATGACCAGCCGGCACAATGTTGCCAATGGCTTCTCCACGCTTCGTTCTCGAGAGACTTTCTGGCTGCTACGGGCCTCGGAGGTTCTGATAGAGGTTGCATGCTGGATAAAGCAACCTTGAACCCAAAATCCTTAAACCCAAAACCCTAAACCGCTACTTGCAGCCCTTATGTCCTGCAGAACGAGCTAGTGGCCACCTCGGCCCTGCTCCCAAGCCCACGTCTTGGGCCTTAAAAATGAGATCGTTTTCGGGGTCCATGATACGATAACTATATAGGGACAATGAGGGGATACGGTGAACACTAATCAGAAGTTATGAAGCAAGCGCAAACCCTTCAACCGTCGAAAGTTTGTTGTCAAAGCCCTCTGTCCCCAGGCCCAGGCTTTTTTTTATGATTTCTCAGGCCCGCAGTGGCATTTCAGGGCATTTACAGTGTAACCCGTAAACTGCCACAGCCAAGCGCGCGCTCCTTCTGTAAGTTCAGGCAGCAAAACAAACATTGTTTACCTCCGGCCCGTGAGTTTGTTGCAGTCAAAGAGAATGTCACTGTCGCAAGCCCTCTCCTCTCTGCATCCGCCAGGTGCACATTACATCCTGCGACCCTGCAGCGCCAACCAACTCTTAAAGCCCCTACCCGAAAACGCCAAATATTACTCGAGCAGTCAGCTATCCTTTTAGAGGATAAAGGCCTGAACATGGTAGGTGGAGCCACAGGCACCCCTACCATGGATCCCAGAAACCTTCCAGCCCACCAATAAACCACATTGAGCAGAACCCTACGTCATCGCCCGACACCTCGCCTGGTGTTGCCGAGTTGCGAGTGCCAAACAGCTTAAGCCTAAACCCCCAAGCCATAAGCCCCTGAAGCCCCTCGGACCCCAAACCTTAAACTCACTAAACCCTAAACTCCTTGAGCAACACAAAACCCTGAAATCCCTATATGCGCTATGAAAACAGGCCCAAACCTCGCAGAGAGGAGATCTATTTTGTAGGAAGCCGAGAAGGAGACGAGTCCAAGACTTCCCTTTCTTAGAGGTTTAGGGGACTTAGTAAGTAGGTGATAAGTGAGTTATGAGTAGTACTCTAAATAGTCCCCTGAACCTCCCAGTTCGTCTCACCGGGCCCCCGAGGATTGCCGCGAAACAGAGACTTCAATGAGAAAGTCGTCCCTTTTTCGGGGAGGTACAAGATTTTCAGGATTTTGCTGTTTATGAGTTTTGAGGGTTTGGGGTTTAGGCGGTGGGCTTTGAGAGGTTTACAGTTAGATAGGGGGCCTTGATCAAGCAGTGCCTGAACCCTGGACCCCTCTACGTTTCTCTTGCTTGCTCTTATGAGGGTATGGGGGTCGCAGGTTAAGGATCCTTCTAAATGCCTATGCGGCCGCTTGTTGCCCGAGGTCTGTGCATCCACGGTGTTGTGGTGTCTCGGGTAAGCCTGTGTTGGGTAGGGTCAAGAGTTTCAAACGAAGCCACAGCCTCACGAAAATGCCACAAGCAAGATACCTTGGAGATTTCGAATCACGTCGTATCCAGGAAGCACAAGCCCCGCTCTGGAAGACCTGTAGAGCTGTTCGCCAAGGCACTGGGAGTTGCATGGAATCAAACTGGTAGAATAGATCCCGTGCCCTCTCTCTGGTTGCGGTGGACGACTGTGAAGCTGGTATCTTGAGGAGTTCACTAAAAGGGCGTAATCGGCTTGCCGCAGAAGAATCTGCTGGTGCTCTGTGCCTCACGGAAAACGAAGACGCAGATCCCTAGCTGCTTGAAATCCTTCAATGAGAGACAAATATATAGAGAAGAACGAAAACCCCGGAGTTTCAGCAAGCCTCTTCAGACTTAGAAGGGATGTGATGACACGTGGAGGGTTGTTCCGCCTGTATCTACATATCCATGTCAGAGTCTACAAGTGTCAACAAAGTATAAATTGATACAAATTTACGCAGCTACATCCACGAATGTATGTATTTACGTATTTATGTATGTATGTACGTATGTATGTATGTATGTATGTATGTATGTATGTATGCATGTATGTACACATAGACTACCAAAAGGATGCTTGTGGCTTGTGGATCTGCCAGAGTTCATTGACATGTACAGAAATCCCCATGGAACCCCAAACTTCGATTGAACTTTAACAGAACCCTTGTTAGACCCAACACGCCGTATAATCCTTGTAGGGCTCCCAAATTCCTGGTAGAGCCCGCTGAGCCCGTACGATGGATTCTGAACCATGAGTCTTAAACTTGAACCCTAAGCGCTAAACCCTAAACCTCTCAATCCTAAACCTCAAGCCCCCAGACCTTAGATCCTGAACCTTAAGCCCTAAAACTCAAAATCCTAAAACCGAAACCCTAAACCCTAAACCCTAAACCCTAAACCCTAAGCCCTAAGCCCTAAGCCCTAAGCCCTAAGCCCTAAGCCCTAAGCCCTAAAGTCAAGTCTGCCATCCTTGGCTCAAGCTTCTGCCTTGTCCATCAAACGCCTCGGAGGCCTGGAGTTCATTAAAATTCCAATAAGGTTACCAGGAGGGTTCGATCACGGTACTAGAAGATTACCGTAAAGCTACTATAGCTGTACTATGCATAGATAGATAGATAGATAGGTAGGTTGGTGGGTAGATAGGTAGATAGATAGATAGATAGATAGATAGATAGATAGAGAGATCTGTCCATCTATCTATCTATCTATCTATCTATCTATCTGCCTATATCTATCTATCTATCTATCTATCTATCTATCTATCTGCCTATATCTATCTATCTATCTATCTATCTATCTATCTATCTATACGTATAAGGGCACCATGAGGTTACTCTAAGGCCGCTGTGGGGACCCAAAGAGGGTTTTCGCCGAGCATCAACTTAGTCAGTCGTTATGGCGAGGAGTTGTAAGCGGCTTAGATTGCGCCCGTGTCTAGTTCCGCTTCTGTCCAATCAAGACTGGACATCTTCGGTGAAAAATATTTCCATACAGAGAGGCAAAACCAAGTGGCAGTTGTAGGAGGTTCAACGGCACGGAGCTTGGTGCCTGTTGTCAACAGGTAACTCTAACCCTTACACCGTAATCACCGTAGACCCCAAAGCCAAAACTCGAACCTTCAGCCTTCGAATCCTCAATCCTCACCTAGAGGGCCGAAACCCTCAACTCCTTAACTTTCAAACCCTTTAAATTTCAAACCCTCAACCCTTTAAACCGTGCAGGTTGCAGAACATGGCTCGCTCAAGACTTGGCCGAGGCTGTGGGTCTCAGTGGCTAAGAACTACGGTTCAGGGTGTCGGGTTTAGTTTTTGTTTTGATTTTGCATCTCTGGAGCTTTCGTGCTTAGGGTTTCGAGCTCTTGAGCTTTTCGGGCTTTTTGCGTAGTTGATTGAATTCGAGGGCTCTTGAGCATTAGTCTTTGGGATTTTGGGGCTAGGTGTTTTGGGTTCCTGTGAGTGGGCAGACTGCCACATGGCCCAATGGCTGGTGCGCTGGAGAGGAATCCCAACTCCACAAACCTGCGCCCCAAACCCTCAGTGAAATTTGCCTACTTGGAAGGGCTGGCCGTCGCAGCACTGTGGATGGCTGCACTGAGCTCGCTTCCCAGACACGGGCTGTCTTAAACTGTTGATCTCGCTGGATGTCCGCAGTAAGTACCCCAAGTTCCAGAACATGCCCCTAAACCCTAAACCCTAAACTGTAGAAGGGACTGGGCGTTAAAGAGGAGCCCGGAGCCGCGAAGCGTCAAGTCTTTAATCCTTCATCAACGCGGAACTTTGAGAATTGGTGTTTGCACTCCTCATGCAGCATAGTCCAAGCGGCAGAACTGCATTGTAGCTGTACTGGCGGTTCAGAAAGTAAGGACGAAGCGATGATAAGTAATAATAACATCGTCTACAAGGATAGAGCAGGTGCTGCTAATAAGGTTCGTGCATGCGTTCGTCCTCAAAAGGCATGGTACTCGGCAGAATAGTTTGTCTCGGTTAGACCTCATTGTTTGTTCAAAACAGTGAAATACAGTCGCAAGTTGTCCAAATTTCAACAGTTGCCAGGACTGTCACACGTGGAGACGAACATATACAGCAATGAATAGAGTCGTTATCCTCATCCTCGTCCTCCGTTGTGATGGTTGTGTTCGTCGTCGTGGTCGTCGTCATGATGGTTATCCTTGCCGTGTCGTGGTCGTTGCTGTTTTTGTTGTCGTCACTGCCGCCGTTGCTGTCAGCCGTCGTGCCGTCGCCTTTGCGCCGTCGCTGTCGCGCTATCACGGAGTGGCCGTCGTCGTTGAACGTCGTTAAGGTAAACTTCTTTGTTGAGGCAGCTGCCAGAGATCCAAACTGCCTTGTAATCAATACGACGTAGAGCCTCTGCTCCAAGTCCAAATCACGAAAGATCTGCATGCAACCTCGGATCGCCGCAGCTCGGCTTAGGTTTGACACGCTCGCTGGCCTTTGCTCCCTGGGGTGAGGATCGGGGTGCAGAACGGGCGTTTGGGGGGTTCTCTCAGGTCTTGGGCTTCGAATTTGGCTCCTGGGGCAGGCTTCTGCTTCTAACTTCTGCATAAGCTACATATTCACTGGAGTTGAGGACTTCAGGAGGTCGAGTGGAGACGTTCCGAAGCGACCACCGCACGAGGGAGCCGTCAAGCCGCACACGTCAACTGATGGTGGCATAGTATATTATCGTGGGTTTGGAATATTACAGTATATAATCGTTAAACGCATACTATAGTAGCATACAGTATATGGTAGTGTATTAGTACATTCTTGTTGTTTCATCTTG